CCTGCAGGAGGTAGAGTCCTCCTGTTGTCTTCTGCTCTCTGTGTTTGATTCTGATTAAGGACAGAAGTCTGAGGTCATCATGCTTCACATATTTTCATTTTTCTGGCAGACTGGCGTTGGTGGTTGATCTTCGTGCCCGTGGTGGTTTTTATAGTTCTGTTAGTGGTCGTTGTGAAAGTCATCAGACGGAAAGGTGAGAGCACAGATGAACATTTTCATGAAGAAAAAAAACTTTAATTACAGAAGTTTAATGTTTGTTAGCTTCAGTTTACCAACACATTTTAATATCTAGAAGTTTGGATGATCCATATTTCTTGTTTGGAAGCTAAAGTCCAGCTGTTTCTGTGTCTCTACAGGAAACAGAACGCAGATGAGTGACGATGTTGTAAGTCCCAAAACGTTTGATTACGATGTTTGTTCTGACCGGCTGCTGAAGAGACTTGATCAATTTAGACATTATGAGGGTCATTCTTTGGATACCATCATACGAGCCTTATACAATTCATCCTGCATGTTCAGAAGAAACATTTCTGTTAAGACACAGAGAAAGAGTCATTCCTTCCATTACACTCATCTCATTTATTATATCTGTCCACTTGTGGGAGGTTCAGGAAGTCATCAGCAGAGCAGAAGGGAATTTTTTTAAAGACAGAAACCAAAATGCCCAAAATATATAAATCATCATCAGGGGCGCTGGTGGCGCAGTGGTTAGTGCGTGTGTCCCATGTATGGAGGCTGTAGTCCTCAATCCCCACTCTCTCTCTCCCTGATTTCCGTCTATGTCCACTGTCTTATCTCTCCATTAAAGACACAAAAGCCCAAAAATAAATCTTTAAAAAAAAAAAAAAAAAAAGCACAGGTCACGATAAACGTTACTGAGCAGCTGTTTTGTTGTCTTCTCTGTGTAGGCTGATCCTGAAGTTCGGGGTTTCCTACGCCTCCATCAGATACAACAAGAAGGGGAAAAGAGGAGCTCGGGTAAGCTGTCTGATTGGTTAAAGTCAGGATGGATGTGAACTTTTATCTGAACATTTAGAATTCATTCTATTTATTTTAGTTTTACTAACAACAGCTTAACTTCATTCTCAACATGTCGACTTTATTCTCCATGTATCAACTTGCACTTTGCATTTAATGATGTCATTTTGTGTTATTTAATGCTCTGTGATCTATCTCCAGGTTTGTGCTAAAGACGATGCTGACGATGGTTCAGTGACCTATGCCTCCGTCAAAGCTTCTTCTTCTTCTTCTGCTGCTGCAGGAGCCTCTGCTGATCCCAGCATCCTCTACGCCACCATCAACAAAGAGAAGAAATAAGAATCCAAAGTAAAGTCACAACTCAGGTTTTTTCAGCATTCTACACTGAAAACTACAGAGCCTTACAAGGCTCAGGTAGGACTAAAATAAAAAGCAATTTGGAAAACCTTATTTCAGGGTTTACAAATCTGTGTGCACAGTTTATAAACAGTGCCCATGGATTTGTAAACTGTGTGCACGGATTTGTAATCTGCTTGCACTGTTTTGAAATCTGTGTGCACCATTTAGGAATCTGTGCCCACAGATTGTAAATCAGTGTGCATGGATTTGTCGAAATGATTGACAGCTTTTTATTTTTTGTCTCACCTGAGCCTTGCAGGGCTCAGTAGAAAACAGATACTGATAGATGTGTTTGTATGAGACTTTGTGTTGTTAACTTTCAAGAGTTATTGCTGTAAGATGCTTTTCCTTCAAAAGAGGGCGTTGTAGGTTTACTAGTAGCACAAAGACCTAGCATAATACCTCTGCATGAAATGTAAATCTACGGAGATCCTGAAATCCCAAAAAGGTTTTCGAAAAAAATCTTAAAGATATTAACTTTTGTGCCCAAGATAATTATATTGAGAACTGGTATTCAGAAAAACCTTTGATTATATGCTCAAGTCTGTTAACGTTAAAGGCTTTATATGTGATTTTTCACACTTAAATGTAGAAATCAAGTATATCCTCTGAAAATAACTCTGTGACTCATGACTGTCTACAATGGGTGTAACACCCGAGTCCCACTGTCTGTGATGCTTTCAGAGTTTTCAGAGTCCTATCTTCACTTTGTTTACATCGCCTGGACGGCCGGCTGACTCCTCCCCTCGTGTATAAAAGTTGTTTAATTGAGGGACTAGAGAAAAGAAGAATAACATACTGTACTCACTGCTTAACTGTGTTTCTAGATCACACTCATTTCAGGTAAATTTACATGCAGTGTGAAGATACCAGCATAATAAAGATTGCTAGCATTAGAATGCTAACACAACAACGAGTTGTTTTGGTTTCATGCTGGTGCTCAAGGGCGACATCTACTGGATCAAAAAATCACATATAAAGCCTTTAACTGTTTCTTCTCTTAACCCTTGCACACAGGATATTCACTCATGAGCACAACATAGCATCTTGTGCACAAGTTAGATGATAACTCAAGTTCACAAGATATTTTTTCCACTTTTTAGGACTTCAGGAGCTCCATATAAACCAGCTTTTAAAATAAGTTTATATACGCAGCAGGCACTTTGATGTGCATGTGTTAAGTTGTAGTTAAAGATTTGTACACTTTTTTATTATTTCTGTACCTGTTGTCTTTTGACCTGCATTCATTTAAACATCGATATCATCACTGCTCAGATCATTCTGTATGCTCTGAGTCACATCCGAGAGTCTGTAGAAACCCAAAAAAGGTTAAATCGACAGAGTGTGAACTTCATGACAGATAAAGGAAGAAGGAACCAGAAAGCAGATGTGGTCTGCCCACATTCAAGCAACAAGTGTTATTTGTGTTCAAAAAAAGAAAAGATTGCTAAACACTGTGAGAGATTTACACTTTACTAATTAGAGGAAGTTGAGGAATAGTTCTCTTGATGCAGCTCCACGTTAGACGCTTAAAAGAGAGAGGAGAGAGACATGAGGGTTCAGTTGTTGAATTGTTTTATTTTGAACGTCATAAAAAAGCTCTTCAACTCGATTTAGGTGGGAATATTATTACAAGAACTTCATTTCATTTTTCCATTCTTATACCTTAAACACAGTTAGTCTGAGTTTTGTAATAATACTTGTGTGCAGCTCAATGTGTTCAATTTTAAGTGAAATGTATATGTTTGTTAAAGGTCCCATATTCTTCTTTTTCTGGTTTTATATGCTCTTTAGTGTGTTTTCCATGTGTCCTGTGCATGTTTAGTCACATCTATGTGCAAAAATTCAAAGTCTGTGGAAACGCTGCTTCTCCTACGTCCTCCTGTTAGCTGTAGCATTAGCCGCATGTAACGCTCGGTTCTAGCCCCCCTCGATAAAAATTTGTCAGTGCGACGTCATTGTCAGTGTGAGATCACTGATCTAAGCCCATTGGCTCGTTGTGGCAAGCCCTGCAGCTCATGTTGAAATTTCAGAGAAGCGTGCTGAGCAACTGACCAATAACGACAGAGCGGATCGGCAGACCAATCAGAGCAGACTTGGCCCACGTGGGGTCTAACAGTGTGGGCTCAACAGAGTGTAGCTGACGGACTCAGAGTGGAGAGGGAGCAAGGAGGAGCAGTACATGAAAACAGACACTTTTTTTGTGACTTTAGCTATCGTGAACGTACAAAAGTAGGAACATAGATTAAATATACGAACCCCAAAAAGAGCAGAATATGGGCTCTTTAACGTTTAAATCCTGGAAAATATGGAGGCAGCTATACGTTTCTGTTGTTGATCTGATGGTCTGTTTCTTTGAAAAATATCTTATTTATATTCACGTCGATGATGAGCGACATTTACCTGCCCAGCGGGACTAAAGGAACAATGTGCGACATGTTACACCTAAATATATCTTAAACCAAGTCTATCCTGTGTAAATGTGTCTCTGAGTCATGACTGTCTACAATGAGGGAGAAGCTCGAGTCCCGCTGGCTGTGTTGTTGTCAGAGCCGTGTTTACATGGACGGGATGGCCGGCTCCTCCCCTTGTGTATAAAAGCTGTTTTAGTCAAGAACTAGAGAGAAGAAGAAGAACATACTCACTGATTATTTTGATATCACATAAGCATTTTTAGATTGTTATCTGTATCAATTTATATACAATGTGAAGCTACAAGCTAACTTAACTTTGCTAACATTAGCATGCTAACACAACAATGCAGACCACAGGCAATTGCAGCTCGAGCAAAGGAAGATTTAGTCCACCGCTTACGCTTAACTCCTTAATGGGAACTTGAGTGGAGAGGGGTTGGAGGTGTGTCTCTGGAGGAGAGCGGAGCATTCCTTTATCATTGAACAGAAAGTATTGATGATATCTTTTCGATGTGATTGAGGGTTTTTAATTGTTTTTGCACATTTGTGAGACACTGAAGAACTCTGTAATGTCAAATCTGTTACATCAATCTCCTGATCTTCTGTATCAATATTAATGACATCAAACGTGTGGATTTACTCTTTATCACTCTGGCAAGCTTTAGGATAAATGTTTGGAGAGCTTACTGCTTAATAAACTGAAAGGAGAAGAAATGTGTGTATTAACATGTGATCATTTCATTATTAAAAACACATCTGCAGGGTCATTAAAGGTGTTTTCAGACCGAAGGAACTTTTTCATAATTATAGAAACTGTTGGAAGCCTCCCCCTCTTTACTGATTCCACACCGCAGGAACTATGATGGCATATCACAAAAGGCCAAATTAAATGTCTGTAAATCTGTAGTGAGGATAAAGAACAGGGAGTTCATCAGTCACATTAACAGCCTTCAAGAAACAGACAGAAAGTCATGCAGTGTCATGCTTGTATTCCAGCTGGATGAAGTGAAATCAGACAGACTGAATGTTACAGAGGATTGTTCTCTGGTCATAAAGACGGTCACAGTGAAGGATGCTGGTTGGTATGAGTGTGAACGACTACAGAAATACAAACAACTCAGGATTTGATTTTTCTCGTCTTTGTTGAAGGTGAGCATTTATATTAAAATGTTTTCATTGTATGTGTAAGCATGTAAATTAATTTATTGTGTAAATACATTTTATGTGTAAGCATGTAAAAATGTCCAGTTAGCAACGTTAGCACCAGCACTGGTTTGGTTACGTCTCCCATCACAGTAATCTCATGTAAACAAAAGTGACAGCATCGCACGGTGACGTCAAACGGAGGAGAAACCGGTGCACAGTGTGAAGTCACAAACCCAAGACTCTCCCCGTCCACACAAAAACACTTTAAATGGAGTTTATGAAAATCTTCACCCCGGAAGGATTTTCATCCACTGTTCCATATCTCCAAAAGTAAATCTTAAAGATTAGCATCAGCAGCATAGATCCCAGCAGCCTCTAAGTCACCATCAACAAAGTGAAGAAATCTAAATGATGGACAGCTTTTTATTTTTTGTCTCACCTGAGCCTTGCAGGGCTCAGTAGAAAACAGATACTGATAGATGTGTTTGTATGAGACTTTGTGTTGTTTGTCTTTTTAGGACTTCAGGAGCTCCATATAAACCAGCTTTTTAAATAAGTTTATATATGCAGCAGGCACTTTGATGTGCATGTGTTAAGTTGTAGTTAAAGATTTTTAAACTTTTTTATTATTTCTGTACCTGTTGTCTTTTGACCTGCATTCATTTAAACATCGATATCATCACTGCTCAGATCATTCTGTATGCTCTGAGTCACATCCGAGAGTCTGTAGAAACCCAAAAAAGGTTAAATCGACAGAGTGTGAACTTCATGACAGATAAAGGAGGAACCAGAAAGCAGATGTGGTCTGCCCACATTCAAGCAACAAGTGTTATTTGTGTTTAAAAAAAGAAAAGATTGGAAGTCACGTGGATGCCAAGCAAGATGGCTGCACAGTAATTTAGCTCCGGTTAATAGCCCTAAAACTTTGTTAATTATAACGTTTTTATCCCACCTTTCTCGGTTATAATTGCGCCTGCAGTTATA